CATTCCATTACACAATCTGCTTATTTTGGTCCTCTGGATTTGTCTTTATACTCATGCCAGTTATTTTAGAATCTCCTTATATATGATAGTTTATATGTTTTACCTCTGCATATCATTTGCTTTGCGCTGCAGTGGCGAGTTCCAGAATAATGTATTCTTATGTAAAGTCTCTTCGGTTGTAAAATGAGCGATTCGCCTGGAGATGAAATGCGCATTGTGAATAAAATATATTTCAATCCTTATTTTATCTTGTTCAATGTACAGTACAACTCCAATTATCCGAACTCTGACTATCTGAAACGCTTTCAGAATTTAAGAAGCAAATTAAAAGGGAAACGTAGAGTTGGACAATCAACGATTTCATACATTAAAAGGAGCAAACCTATACCTGTAAACTTCGGGTCACTGCTTGGAATACCATAAGATAATACCATAATACCAAGATGGAAGTTCTTCAAGAAAATCAATGAAATCAGCAACAAACGAAAATTTAGAAGATGTCGTTTTCAGGTGGTTTCTGCAGCAACGTTCTATGGGAAATCCAATCTCGGGTACGATTCTTTGTGAAAAAGCTAAGATCTTAGCTCAGAAACTTGGTGGTTCATCCTTAAAGCAAGTAACGGCTGGCTAAGAAATTTGAAGGCACGGTGTCCGTCAAACAACTTACTTTGACTGAGATGTTCAGCAAGCAATGACTTTCAGCACTTGTAAATAATGTACAGTACGCTATATAACATGTACGTAAAGTGTTGCCTTTTCATTTTACTTAATTAAAACCTCTTTTTTCTTTTAAAATAGTTTTTTTCTTCCATTTTATACATACACTTAATTAGAGTGTAAGTAGACCCTTTCTTCGGAGAAAATCTAGTTATCCGAATAGGATTCGGTCCCAATTGATTTGGATAATTGGAGTTCTACTGTATGTGATTATTTTAAATGAAGTGTATTTTCGATAATCCTAACTAATGTCGGGAAGCAACGGACGGACAATTGAAAAACACAGATAATCCAAACTATCAGTTTTCATTCATTTTGTACTTGTTTATTTCTTACAAAATTCAGCAATTGTACTTTGTTTTTCAGAACGTTTTAATGTTTGTCGAATTTCACTGAGTATTTTTCGAATTGTTACTTTATCATTGTATTTGAAGTCCAATAGAGTTTTAACAAACGTCGTCGCTGTCTCAGGAGTCAGTATCTTCTTCACTTGAACTTTCAGTATCACTCTCTGCCTCTTCTGTTCTTGTAACATTTGAAACGACATTGAATCGAATTTGAAACGATATCCGCGTTTTTGAATTCATTTTTTACTTTTAAAAGTTTAAATCAATTTTTTAAAGAATAAGAAGAAAATATGCAAAAAAATACGTACCAAACAAAAAGATCCCAGTGATCAACCGAAACGATGCCTTCGACTACGTATATGTAGAACAAATCATAAGACGTAATCGTTGAAATCAAACCTAAAGACGCAATTCAGAGGATTTAGAACATGCTTGGACTTAACGTCTGTTTTTGTGTTTTACATACTACCGCGCATAACGTTGAGTGTGCCTGCGTAGCCACCTCCACGTACGAATAATTCGCAAACTGGAAAATCACCCCCCCCCTTTAATACAGAGTCCCATCGTCTCATCACCTTTCAAGTCCCATCGGTAAAATCGCTCATTTATATTCAACGTGACTTTTAAGCTCTAATTTTAAACTTAAAAAAAAAAAAATGAAAAAGTCATAATATTTTTGTAAATTTAATATGAGATGTTTCTCATGCATAAAGAAATAAAATAAAAAAGTTTCAAATGCTTTTTCAAAAAATAAAGTAATTTGGGATATAAAGGGTTAAATTATCCACTGAACGCCAAGCCAAGCACAGCAGCATTTATTTTGGGGCTGTACCCGCGAGCTGGATCCGCTTTTGGATTTAGGATGTTTGAAGATCTGTGGTTAATTCACCGTGTTCGTTTAAACTTGGGTGAATGAGAGAAATTTGCTGCTTTTTTGTTTGAAAGGAAGTTGAATAGACTTTAATGTTAAAGATTATAAGCAAGTAGTTTTAATTTAATGGCGTGTTCTATTAGTGCGCCCACCAGCGGCCGAGCGGTAAAGTCGCTGAACATTGGTAGTTTGGTCTGAGGTTCGAATCCCGCGAACGGGCTGGCTGCATGGGCGTTTTCGTGGTTTTCCCCATGTGTAACGTGTATACGAGCCAGTTTCCCTTAGAAAGTCCTCCACGAAGGCACCCCTCCTCTTAGGCAGATAGCCCTCGAGGCTTTGCCATAATCACACACACACACACACACTCTATTAGTGCAGTTAAAGTTGGGGATAAAGAAATATTTTAACATAATAGTAATCGCCAGAATCGTAAGCCCTAACGTCAGTTTGCTGGTTTTTATCTCCTTGCTGCTAGTAGGCTTAAAACAATAATTAATTACATAACTTACATCTCAGATTAGAAAATCTCGTCTGAGAAAATTCTGTGAAAAATCAGAGAAAATCTTTGAGTTTTGTAAACGCTGAATTTTCGAAGTTTTTTTGTCATTTGGATCTTTCTAATTAATTTAAATATTTTAACTCAAAACTTTAGAAAAATAAGTTTTATTGAAGTAAAACAGAAATTTCAATTCAAATAAGAACGAGGTTATTGCAATTTCAGTTGTACCTGGATCAACTGGTAATGACCCTGTAAATTCATTAGGTATTTTTGAAGCAGGAGAGATGAAAAAGACCAATGCCCTCGCCGGGCCTCGAACCACGGAACTCTCGAATACGCGCCGAGCGTGATGACCACTACACCACGAAGGCATAATAAGAACGCGGGAGAAATACGTTATATGCTTCCCCTTTTAAAAGGCGACTGGGGATTAGGGGACCCAATCGCCAAATCTGGGTGGTGGAGAATCATCATCCACCACCTTTTTTTAGTTCAGGCGCCATTGTAAAGCCATTAGGATTTTTTGAAAGCAGGAGAGATGAAAAATGAGCAACACTTTTGTCGGAACTCGAATCACGGACCTCTCGAATACGCGCTGAGTGTACTGACCACTACACCCAAAGGCATACTAAGAAGGCGGGAGAAATACCTTATATACTCTCCCTTTTAAAAGGCGGCTGGGGATTAGGGGGCCCAATCGCCAAATCCTGGTGGTGAAGAATCATCATTCACCATCTTTTAGTTCGGGCGCCAATGCAGAGACATTAAGTTACCGTATTTACGCGAATCTAATGTGCATCGTTTTTGGCCAAATGTAGTACTCAAAATTGGGGTGCGCATTAGATTCGATGGCGCATTAGATTCGAGTGCAAAGTTCGCCGATGACGTCAACCGAATTTAAATCGTAACAATGGATTACTGTATTTCTCGACTACATTTACCGTTACATTTATCGTTGACACATTATTGCATACTGCAGAGTACGTAGTCACGAAATGGAGGGCAAGCAGAGAAGAATGTCATATGACGCTACTTTCAAACGTAAAGTAATTCTTTATCCTGAAAGAAATGGCAATAGAAAGGCTGGGGAGAGAGTTCAACGTAGCTGAGAGCAATGTTCGCTTGTGGCGGCAACAGAAATTGGCACTGTTTGCAACTAAAACTAGTAGAAAGAAATTCACTGGCCCTCGCAAAGGAAGACACCCTAAAATTGAAGAAAAAGTTTTGGAATTTGTACGTGAAAGGAGGAAGAATGGACAACCTGTGACTAGCGACATTATAAGAAATAAAGCAAAAGAGGAGGCTGAAGTTCTTGGAATACCGAAACGACAGTGTAAAGCTAGCCGTCGATGGGTGGATCGGTTTACGAAGCGGATGGGCTTATTTCTAAGACGCCGTACAACAATATGCCAAAAGCTTCCTGCAGAGTTTGAGGGAAAACTACTAACATTTTAGCGGTATGTCATCACACTTCGGAAGGAAAAGAATTTTTCAATGGGGCAAATTGGCAACGCTGACGAGACGCCAATTTGGTTTGATATGCCTCGTAACTACACCATTACGGAGAAGGGGACTAAAAAAAGTTATCATCAAAATAGTGAATAAAGACGTTTACTATTAATCACTGATTGTAGAAACTGTTAGCTAGATAGAAATGTTACCATTTATTTCATGTTCATACTTTACGATATGTACCGTATATACGGTAGTGGTAATTAACAATGATTGTTTCACATAACAATAGTCCACTAATAGGTTAATTCTATGTTCTGTTACTTTATGTATAAATCCATTGTTGTATAAAATATGGTATCTAAATTTAAATAAAATTATCATACCATTGATTGATAGTTTATATACAAATCCATTGTTGTATAAAATAAGATTCAATAACTTCCTCATACCATTGATGCGCATTACATTCGCTGACAAACAATTTTTTTATTATTTAAAGTTTTAAAATGGGGATGCGCATTAGATTCGCATAAATACGGTATTTTGAAGCAGGAGAGATGAAAAATGAGCAATGCTCTCACCGGGACTCGAACGACGGACCTCTAGAATTCGCGTCGGGCTTGCTGACCACTACACCACGAATGCATGCTAACAAGGTGGGGAAAATACCTTATAACCCGCGAGCCGAATTCTATCAGTATGTCTTGTAAAATCTGCCAGAAATTTTGTAGTAATTAGTGCTTTGCTGTTTCTCGAAAATTATCGAAATTTTACATGTATATTCATACCTTTGGATATAAGTAATTTACTATTAATAAGGTCTGTATAATTCTGTTAGCTCATGCCATGATATACTATAAACGCTGCTTCGCGTATATTACACCAGTTGTATAGCAGTTAAACTATTTATTTCCAGATGTTAAATGAACTACTATTTAGAAATGGTTTTATCAAATTATGTAGAGAAAACAAACTGCAACATTCGAGGGTTTTAATTATGTATTTCATTTATCAAATTTCATTCATATTATCTTAATAAATACAGGTTTGTTTTAAAAAGTGGATTGTTAGTTTTGGTTTTTGAAAAGATTTCAGATTTTCAAGCCACAAATTTGAGATTTCAAATTTTGTTTTTATTAAAAATATTTTTTTATTATTTTTGTCATTTGAAAGATTCGAGAAATGTGATTTTCGAGAAGTTTCGAGAGATTCGAGGAACTCAAAATGCTGATCTCTAATAGGATTCGAGAAAATTTAGCGATCGCTCCATTTCTTGAATAAATTTGGCAGAGCTTGAATCTATCAAAGACAGAATCTTTTAATCATCTGTTATGGCATCTTATGTAATTTTGTGTAAAAATCCAGGTTCGTATAATGTCTAATATCAGAACAGTCTCTAAGCGCATGAAAAGATTTATTACCGTCGTTAGTTTGCATAAATTAGATTTTAAACACTGGACTTGAATAATATCGAGGTTCAGTAAGGAAGTACTTGTGCATTTGAACTTCAAGGTACATCTGCCAGACCGTAAATACCATCAAACAAAATCCACTTGTTATGACGACTGTTGTGCATATTATTATGAACCCGAGGATTGCATTATAAAGAAGTTCCTGCAAAGCATTGTCCCCGAAAGGATTGGTATTACCTGAAAGAAAAAAAGTTGTGAATAATCAAAATTGCACAAATAGTTTTAAAACAAGTTGAAATAATTCCAAGCAGACTGTTTAATCTATGCTAAAAAATGACTTTTTTTTTTGGTAATACTTTACAAATTAAATGTTGCCATTCCAATATGATTTATTTTTATTTGAAGAAAATATTGTTATTTTAAGGAATTACTATCTCTCACAATACTATAGATTTGGTAAAATTATAAAACAAAGATTTTTTTTTTCCATGACAAACATTAAGTATTTTTAGTACAGACGATCTGTTAGTCTCGAAACGGCATTTTGCATCGTTTCACTATAAATGGCCGTTTCACTTTCAAATTGTTGCCATCAAACATTATCAAAAATTATATCTACAGATATTAAATAATGAAGAATCTAGAGCCATCAAATTTTGAATAACTTAGTCCTTCACCCAAATATGGGCACCTGGAAGCTCGAATTTGGAAGTTGATTTGTTTTTATTGTCAATTTCATATTTTTTAAAACTTTAATGAATTTCTGATAAACAAACTCGGCGATCTCAAAGATTGCAGTGGCAGCACTGTACGGAATTTTTTTTTTTTTAATCTCCAGCGCTCGACACTATCGGAAATTCTAAAGGTATGCTATTTTTAAATACTTTTAGCAGAAAGGGTTATCAGCCCAAACGCGTATGTGTGTGTAAATGAAAACACACGTGTATGTGTGTGTAAATAAAAACACACCCCTTTGGGCATAATATAAAATTAGAAAGCTTTCAGATTTTTTTCTATATTTTTATTTATTTTTATTTCGTTGAACTTCTTTTACTTATGTTAAATAATTGCTTATGATTTTTTCTTTTTTTTTTACAAATATAATGATTCTTTTAGCAAGTTAATTTCTGGTAAGTTCGAACATCGAAACAGTAATACATCTACAGCTAAAATTTCATTCTGTTTTTTTAATTATACAAATTTCAGAAACATTTACTAATGAATCATAATTTTGATTTTAATAATGGTATTTTTTAAGTAATGATATTAAGCTCATCTGAGGATTAAAATTCATCATAGTTAAAGAGTAACAAAGTAAAAAAACTGAAACATAAATCTCATTGAAAGGTTTTTACCACTCATATCTAACTGGAATAATTAACTGTTTAGATCAATCTCTCGATCAGCTTTGCAACTGAAAGAAAGACAATCTCTGCAATCCTGCTTGTTCTTTTGAAAAACTGAAGACCGCACATTTTTCAAACAGTTAATATCCAATGGTCCTAAAATAGTCGACTACTAGGAGGTTAATTTCATTATTTGAATTCTTTTCCCGCATGTGCTACAGACTTTGCTTACCAGGTTTGCAAAAAACTGCTAAATCTTAAAGACTCAGAGATCCTGACAAATTTTACTATTTCTCAAAAACCATGAGCTGTAAATTATTTTCCTTAGCACTATAAAGGAATAGGGAATGTAAAGTTGTCTTATAGCCAACAAACTGTGTTATTTGAATTAAAAAAATAAGGAGTAATTAACTGATACAGCCTTCTATACGCGATGACAAAAACAACATTTGCCGCCGAACCGTATTAGTGGTTAGTGACGCTGACTGCCGTACCAAAAGGCCTGGGTTCGAATATCAGAGAAGAGATAAATGTTTCTGAATGTATAGTGTCGGTGCGGCATGGAGGCAGTCTAAATATGCGGCTAGCCGAAAGCTCTATCGAGAGGTTGATGGTAGAAAATAGAGTGGAACCGTCCCCACAAGGTCCCAAGGCGCCCTCTTGAAGCCTCAGGGAATTGTTCCGGGTTAGTGGAGGGCGCGGGACACATACCTGTTTACTGCACATACATCAGGCGTCCCCGTCCTCCGTTACCAACCAACCAACCAACCATCAAAATTGGGAGCGTAACAGGGCACTGCCACGTGTATGGTGCCCCAGGCCCTTGCCAACGACAGGCGTAATCTTAACCCCTTGCCACAATGAATTTCGTGGACTTGTTCTGATTTCAGAGATCTGATCTGATGTTATTGTCGATCAGGTGGGATACGTCACATCAACAACAACAAAACAACATTTTAGATCTTTGAGTGAAAATGCTTTTTGTGGGAATGAGCCCTTTAAGTAAATTTTTCAAAGACGCATTTCTAAAAAGTATTGCATTTCACTCCCATTTGCAACATTACTCGTTTTTAACGTGATAGTTGCTTAAGAATTTATATACCATACAAATAACAATAAAAATTAATGGAAAATTTTCAAACTGGCAAGATTTATACTGCAAGTTTGACTTAATGTCAAGGGTATAGTTTAATAAACTAAATTTTGAAATTAAGGGGTGATGAAAGTACGAAAGCTTTTTCTTATTTTTTCTTATTTTTTTATTGATCTGATTTAGAATCAGAATTTTAATCTGACAGCCACGATTAATGTAAAATTCACAAAACAAAATAAGTATGAAAAAAAATTACTTTCTGCTTTTATGGCTCTGATGATCTCGAATTCCTCTGAGGTAGTTTTATCAGCTAAGTCACATTTGTGGTGTTTCGTTTTTGCGCAACAGACAGCCACGAAGAAGCCGAAGAAAATAACCAGCATCTTCATAACATCAGATCTGAAAGATAAATTAGATTAGGAGTAGAGCTACATAATTTTTCTTTTAAATCCTTAAGAATGTAAAGTATTGTGAAGAGAATCGCTTTGTAATATGAAACGGTACTCGTATCTTATCGAAATCTTGCACTTAACTTCCAAATTATAGTAGCACACTGCTTTTAATACTAGGATAAATTAAATATTACCTTCGTTATTATTTTGCTGACAGTGTTCCAAGCATTTCTAAAGAATTTGAAATTAAATCCTGTCTTTTAACAAACAAAATCAGACAACCCAGAATAATTCGTTTTTTGAAAAACTTCGTTTAGTATAGTAACTTTTAAATTAATGCAATACCTTTTAAATAAATTCATTATGTGATTATCAATCAGATAGCCCCACAGGATATTAGAATCTTTTATGTAAGTGCGAGCTAACATTAAAGTTTAGTCTTTAGTGCGCGCTGTCAAATGTAGCATGGTCTAAACATTTTTCATTAAACACTATATTTTATTAATGTCTCCCACTGTAATGTGCTATAAATTGTACTTTTTTTATGTTTCCTGTATTGCTTATTGATTTGTTTGATGTAATAATTTGCAATCGATCACAGAAGTGGAAAGAGGAAGGAAAGTACCGAAGCAATTCATTTGCGGTTTTCTGGTGTGTACTTTATGGTGGTCCTGCCAGCAGCTGCAACAAGTAGCCGAATATGTCAGTCATTCGGGGAGAACACACGCACCGCCAAGTACAGATTTCAAAACTTCATGTTGGGAGACCTGAGAATTTGTGAACAACTCCACAGTGGTGACCACACATGTTGGATGACGAGGTTCTTAGGAAAAATCTCTCAACAACATACCTTTACACCATACTAACAATACACTCAAGGAGTAACACTGGAAAATTGAAATGAAACTTAACGAAGAAATCACAAAAACCAACAAAAACGCAATTAAATTGAACAAGAAATTCAAATTAAAAAAACTGGAATTTCAGAAATTTGTGAAGCAAATAAATGCAGTAAGAAGGCTGCTTCAAAGAAAAAGACATCCTGCTAATAAGAAAAGTCTAAATCAACTGTGTAAGCTGTTAGGTCTGTCACTATTACCCAGGTGCAACTCGACTGGAATAACTATCTACATTCGCTCTCCATCGATGATAACTCCATATGGGTAAATTAAGTAATATCCAATCTAAGTCAGAATTCAATCTCAGTCAGTAAGTTTAATCTCAATCAGTAAGTCATAAGTAAATTATCCAATTTAAGTCTGAATGGCGGGAAATGTGATATGCATGCGTAATACTGTAAGCTAGGTACAAGACCTTCTACAATAGAATTTCGCTCTTTAAAAGCCCTCAAAAGATCCATTACAATAAAACTGAGAAAGCAGAACTTTAAGCTCAGCATCTGAAATCTCAATTTTGCATTAACAAAATACATAACACAACATCTGAACACTTAGCTTCTATTTTTTATTCTAATAACACAAGAAATCAACACACAAACAACATTGATCCTATCCGTCCATTAGAAGCTTTTGGTTACATTGTAGAATTCAGTAGATTCACTTTTGTGTAAAAACTGGAATAGTAGTAACTGTACAAGAGAAGGGTTAAGAGTACCCTTTATTAAATCTTTAAAATTTACAATGCGTCAACTCGACGCTTACAAACTACGCCTCTTCTTGGGCGGTAACTGAAACCAGATAGTGAAACTAAAAATTTCAAGATATGTACAAGTGATAGAACTAAACTACAGGGCTCAGCTAGATCCCGTTTCTTAAACCCCCGTCGAAAATAGTGGCAGCAAGTAAATGCAATCAAGCCACGTGAACCAGCAATAACCAACCGTTTAAACAGCAGAGGTTGGGGTTGTAGCGTAACTCTCTCTCTTTCCTACCGAAACTCTGTTTTTAAAGCTCTTTCTGAAAAGTAGAATTTGCATTCCTTCACGCGCGCTACAAAATTTAAATATTCTGGCACTGACAATTAGGGGAATGAAGGCTTATAGGAAAGAATAGCAACTTAAATAAAATTGGTTATTTAAAATAAATATAAATCCCTACAACATGATTTTTAAATTTACGAAGATCTTTAACCTGATTCTTTCGATAGCAGCATTTTCCTGAGGACTGGAAGACGGCTGCCATAACTTCAATTCTCAATTCAAACAAGCCAACTTCTCCCCCGGACAATTGGACCCGCTTGTTATCTTGCATTAGAAAAATTATGAAAGCTATAATCCTTGCCAGAATTTATAAACATCTCGAAGCCATCAACATCTGTATTCGATATCAGTTTGGCTTTCGGAAGCAACTATCAATGTCCAACCAGTTATAAAGAGAAGTGGGGATACTTTCTGAAGCGATCCGAAACAAGAAAGTCACAAGCGTTCTTTTCCTTGATCTAACCATGGCTTTTGATCACATTTGGTTACACGCACTCATCTACAAAACACACAATCTGGACTTTCCAGATTTCATCACAACCATAACTATATCCTACTTGACAGGTAGAACTTTGTCATTTACATCTCTTGCACATATTCAATTCGCCGAGCTATATCAGCCAGTGTACCACAAGCGTCTCTTAGGGCCACTATCTTCAAGATTTATCTAAACGACATTCCATGCACACACAATATTACGCTCGTAATGCAGGCTAATGACACAGCAATCCATGCTCAAAGTGCAATCCTTAGTCTGGTCATCCAACACATTCAGAGCCACATACAAGTATTGGTTAAAAATGGGTAATTCAAATCAATATTGAAAAAAGTGGCTATTTTAATCCTAAAGAAGAAGAAAATAGCAAGAAATCTCAATTTTGTGGAACTACTCTGACCTAAGCAGATCCGTTACCTTAGGGGAATTCTAGCTAATTCTCTCGAGAGACCCCAAACATTAAAGCTATTATCCAGAAGTGCTGAGAGCGTAAAACTAAAGTGTATCCCTTAACTGTTCGAATAGCATTCTATCTGTAAATAATAAGTTACTCAGTTGTAAATCAATTCTGCGCTGCATGCTTTACTTCGCCTGGTCAGTCTGGGCTCATTGCTATAAAACAAATTGTAAACAACTCCAAACTGGCTCAGAACAGTGTTCGTCGGCTAATTACAGACTTCTCCTGGTATATTAGTAGCAATAAAATACATGCAGAAAAGAACATTGTCCATTTAAGAACACATTGTTATCATCTGGCAAAAGCTTTTCATAAACGGCAGAAGAAGATTAGTTACTGCGCAATTAGAATCTGTAACTACAACTTCAACTCAGGTAGCATCAAGAAGCCCGTGGCCATATTAAATGACCCATTTTTTGTATAACATGCATATTCTTAGTTTATTGTTTTGTAACTCCTGTTCCTGATTTTCAAATATTTTATGCATGCTCATATAATTTGTGGCATCATCTTATGCTTCGGTCATGACTATCTATTTCATTGCAAATGACCTTTTACAGCTAAATAAGTTGTTTTGCAGCAATCTATTTCGAAATTTTAAACAGATGAGGGCTAGGGCCTAAAAGACCAGGTATGCTGGTGTTTAACACTATTATACAGTCAAATCTAGAGGGGGGGCAGCAATCAAACGTGTGGCGAATTTCCCGAATGCTTCCAGGTTTCTGAGGAAATGGTCAGATTTCTTCTGCGAGAGAAGTTGTTGAATAAGTAGGTGGCTAAAAACATTGTTGACGGTCAGAAAGGAACAACCTATGGCAGTCTGTTTGTTTTTGTCGTCTCAGTACTGCAAAGCACCCTGTTTTATCGAATGCTCACGAGTGACGAAAAAAGGATCATCCATTATTACACTCCCAAGCATACCAGATACAGGTTGTCACCACGTGACTCTGTGCCGCACACCTGAAAATCACCTCTGTACCTACGAAAGTTTATGCTTTGTATCTGGTTGTCTAGTTGACAATTAGTGCATTACGAGCTACTACTGCTAGGCCACACCAACACTCAAGATACGTACTCGCAGCAGCTGCAATGGGTGCAACACGCATTGCAGCAGAAGAAGCCAATGTTGGTTAATCGTAAGGTACGACAAAGTTGGTTATCGCAAGGTACTACAAGTGACAAGGACAATTCAAAGATTTGGCTGGAAAATATTGTGTTCGTCGAACTTAGCGTCCATAATTTACAAACTGTTTCTTTCTCTGGAAAACCACCTCTGTGGAAAATCCTTCGACAGTAATGTAGGCTTAATATTTTTCTGTAAAACTTATTTTAAAACAACACTGAATTTTTGCTTTTATTCCATATTTGAAGACATTGTAATCATAGATGTACACATATTATGCAGTAGTTACTTTTTTTAATAGTGTTACTGGTAGTTATTTGTACGTTCAACTATCGAAAATAGTTAACTAAAAGTCTTCTTCCCAGTTAGTTCAGGAAAACAAGGTTCTACTGTACCTTTTTTCTTGAAAGTAACCAAGTAATGTGAATTAACAATGAAATGTATATTGCTAGATGAACGTAAGTTAAGTAAAGTAATATTTAAATAAATTGAATTAATTAATTAGCAAGTAATTATGTTTTTTTTTCTATTTTTCAAATAAAAATCTATTCTTTGCGATTTTTTTCAGTTATAAAAGGTAAACGAACGTAAAACAAATTTTTATAACTTTAATGTAAGCATAAATCTTATTTCAGATAAAACAATTCACCTAAAGTTGCTTTAAATGATGTACTAAAAGCAGAATTTTCAATATAGTTTTATTAAATGATATAAATATTTATGCGTATTTTTTTCTCCTTTGACGAAACTTCGCAAACCTCGACCTTCATTTATCTGTTGACCGTTTTTGAGATGCAGGATTATCTTTTTTTCAGTAGCATCATAAGAAGAATCAATTTTCAGATTTGAAGATAATTTACCAAATTTGCAATCAAATTCTCTTTGGGTAGATCTTCTTTCTGTCTCCATCTCTCAATCTTATCTCTCTGTATATATATATATATATATATATATATATTATAATACACTTCGTGAGATGATCTTTCAAACGAGCATCTTATATGGAACCATATTTAGAATGACTGTGTATTACGCTTAATTTCAATAAACCTTCATAAAATACGGAAACGCGATGGCTTACTTTTAGCACTAATCTGAGCTATTCTTCTCAACCAAGTACGAAAACTAACTTCTGCAAAAGAATGTTTCTCGCAAAAGTGACTCTTATGTTATAAGGAGATTAATGAAGGCTGGGCATTACTGTAACGGATTCAGGTTTCGAATCCCAGCTAAAACCCTGGGTAATTGTGACTGTACTATTTCTTCGAGCTGCAATTCCAAATTCCTTGTCTGAGTATGCTAATTAGGTACGAGAAGAAAGCTGAACTTGAATCCAAGAAAATTATCCCCTTTAATTACAAGAATAGAAGTTAAGAATTCAAATAATTTAAGTGAAATATTTCTAAGTTTACACAATCTCTCTGTCACACACACAAAAGAAAAAAAAAAAAAAAAACCTTTAAGCTTTCAGATTTTATTACAGACACATACGCGCTTCAAGAGCATTTGGGACAATGCCACTTTGGACTAAAAATATTTAAAAACAGCATATCTTTAAAATTTCCGATAGACAGTACTGCGCGCTGGAGATAAAAATATTTTATTCCCTACAGTGTTGCCACCTTTAGCTTTGAAATTGTTGAGTTTTTTTTAATAAAAAATTCGTTAAAGTTATACAAAATATAAAATGGATAATAAAACAAATTCGAAATTCCGAATTCGGGCTTCCAGATACCCATGTTCGGGTGGGGAAGCATATTATTCAAAATTTGATCACTCTAGGTACCGTTGTTTTTTCACAGTGCGAGAAACCTACATATGTTCAGGCAGGTTCATCAATGTTTAGTTTCTTTAAACATAACACAGGGCGATAATATTTGGTATCAACAATTTGAAAAGTGATACACTGCATTTAGGTGATTCAACGCAAAATACCGTTTTGAGACTAATATCCATTCTGAACTAACGCCCCTTTTGGCTAAAAAAAAAAAAAAAAAAAAAAAAAGAAAATAAGAATACATTTTAAACTATTTTAAAGTTTCAAATCCATCCATTTCTTGCTATATATGTGTGAAATTTCTATTACTCATAAAGCATTTGAAGAAACATTTCAAATCCCGGTCATAACACTGAGTAAATTTACGTATTCGTATTCCTTGCGTCAGAAAATTGAATGTAAAAATCGCTCTTAAATTTCCTCCGCAAAGCTGAAACTGAAGGAGGAAAATGTAATTAATGATTTCTTCATATAATAACCTTCATATTAATAACCTTATTTATTAATCATTTATATAGAATAATTTTATTTAAGAAGACAAAAGCTTTCATTGTGTTTTCCATTTCATCGTTGCTATATTTTAAAATTTTAAATTCAAATTAAAATTTTTTGTATACATCTATTAATGTTTATAAAGTTATTATTTAACTTTTCCATTTAATTTTAAAATTCGAGAAATAGATTAAATGGAATTCAAATGTTTATGTTTGAGTTAGCAATACAAGTTCTAATATTAAAAATATGAATGAAATATAACTTTAAAGAAAATGCTTGTTTACTATTAAAAAATTACATTAACCAGAATTTAAATGTTTTAAAAAATCGTTCTTAAGATGGAAATCGCATTGTGTGTACCATCAGAATTAATTCATTTGGATCTTAATAGTAGTGAAATCCAAAGAATTAAACGTAACTATTGTACAAGAAGAATTTTCTTTTTTTCGCAGTTTATTCAATATTCAAGAAAACAGTTTCTTAAATGCTTTCGTATTCATGCATCTCACGTGAAAAGGAACATCCTGTCAAATCTTTCTTTGCCGAGCGCCTTTTCAATCAGAAAATCGAACATCAGATGCGAAATCTCCTTAATTTACAAAAATATTAATGACTATTAATATTAATATTTTTGTAATGTACATTTATGAGTATGCATAATCGAACTTATAAAGAAATATATGATGATAACCTACGTTTGATTAACATGTTGATTCTTGCTGTCGTTCTTTTTGTTCTTATGATTCCTTTGTACCCTGAAAATTTAACATCCTTCAAGCGAGCATGCTCATTGCAGTAACTCCATAAGTTCAAGATCATTCCGCGTGTGATGATCAACACATGTCACATTTATTTCTAGTATATTTCTCAATTGTGCAATTTATTTATAGTCACGAAAGAGCAGAAGTTGAGACGGAAGTATTCCTTGAACCATTCCTTGACCATCAAGGTCGAATGGATAAGATTACTAAATACTAATTCAGTAGCTGAAGTCAGGTTTGAATCCTGGTGAACAGATTGGCTACATGAATGCGTTTGTAGTTATCCTATGTATAACACGAATACGATACAGTTTCTCTTAAACTCTCATTTGGCAGATAGTCCTTGCATGCTTTTTCTCAACTAAATCAAACATTAATTAGTTAGAGGAATTATCGCAGAGAGATCTCTACGACACGTATGGATAATATAAATCCCTGTAACATCCACCATCCTTTTATTTAAGAAACCAATGGTTCTCTAGTGTACTCAGAAAACTTCTCTAAACCCAAACGCGCTCATGCATTGGTCTGTTTCACTGCAGCTGTATAATTAGTAAATATAATTTGAAGCTGTTTATGCATATGAGAACTATCACCTTTGTACTATCACTTTTGTACAAAACGTAACCTGTCTCATTGCTCCAAACGATATTCTTCAATCTTTCAAGGATCCCAAACCTATCTTTCTAATCCAATGTCCGACAGTGTTTGTCTTGCATGACCATCATCGCTGCTACTATCGAGGTAGATATCCAGTTTGCGAAAATTTCAGGCTTGCAAGATAGTACATAAAAAGTTACTGGATTAGCAGTTTTACTAATATATTAGTGGCGAAGATGTGTTACTATTGTGAATTATTATCGATACCCAGGGTGATCACATAAAATACTCACTTGGAGGAACCACAAACAAGTGGCTGATCAATGTTAGTTCTTTGCTGGATGTTAATTTGCCTTCTAGCATGCTTTTCGTACCTTATTGGAGACTAATGTCATCCATATAGTTGATACTCCGAGGTAGTTTGTTTTTTTTATATTTCCGAGCATATGAAAAGTAGGGAAAAAAAGGCAAAACTGATTCAGTGGATGAAACAACTATTATGATCATATATTTGTAGGCTACTAGTAGGCTATGAAAATACTTTGTAGGCTATGAAAAGAGAATTCCCTTCTCGAGATTTATAAGCAAAATCTATGAATGTAGGAGAATATTTAAGAAAGAAGAGAATTTAATACAATAATTAAGAAGTTAAAAAGGAAGCTAATATATATCGGAAGTCTATTATAAGATGAGAAATTAAGATTACTAGTATCAAGAACTTTTATCTCTAAATCACTTTAGATTTTTACTTTAAATTTGACTTTTTACTCTGACGATTTTTGACTCTGACGATTTTTACTTTAAATCTGACTGTTTTGTTCGTGTTGTTTGTTTGGTTAATTTCTGAGACTATTCGTACTGAAAAGAAATCCTTGTTAAAATTAAAAGCAGTAATAATACTAGACCTTGTGCTTTATTTGACAATTTTTTGGTACGTACAGGTATGGAACAAGAAGCTTTTTTAAACTTTTGTCTCGTATTTGTTTAGATGCTGGTCAGCAAAAAGGAACAAATTCCTACTAAAATTTCTCCTAGTTAGACTGCTTAGATAAGTAGAAACCTTGTAGCATAAAAATGATTTGACATCGGGGAGGAAAGAAGCCGGATTAATCATTTGACGAATCAACATAAGGAGAAACCTAGGCCTTTTGCATAAAAAAAAATTATATGAAATGGTTAGAATTTTTAATGCCAAATATGACCTTTCAGATAAGTTCTCTTTGTACATTTCACATTATTATCATATTACTTTGGTAAAGATTATGTATCTAAATTAATTAGTACCGGGCATACCATAAATTTGCTTTCAAGTTACGTGACTACCTGATATAAAATTTACAAAATTTTATTTTATTTCCAAAAAAATCAGGAACTTACCTATCGTATTAACACTGCTGCACTGAGAACATTACTCGTACATCCAGAGCAGAAGTTCGACGTCACTTTAAGCTTGTGGCATTCAGTGGGACAAATAGAAAAGTCGAGATTTCAGATATTTGCTGTTGGGTATAATACACATTCGGAATTGTATTTACACAGCAAACAGATGCTTCGAACAAAGGTATTAACTGACAAATAACTGTAAAAATTATTATTTATTTGTTTATTTCATTTTAGTTTTCCTTCAGAAATATATTAAACGAATTTATTAGTGGATTAGCAACTGAATTTATATATATTCAGAAATTGCTCATTAGAGCTATAGAATGAGCAATTTCAGAATTTCATTCATAACCTAAATCAAATTAAAAATTAAAAATTATTTATTTTTCTTCTGTGTTTAATTCTTTGAGCTAGTGCTTCAGGCCCAGTGTTCTTTAGATATATATTTGAAAGGATAGCTGTATGTTTCATGCAACTTTTAGAAATGGCTTTTACCTGAGATTAAATTCTATTATTAAAAGTATTTCAAAAAATAAAAATAAATGAACAAATAAACTCTTTATTTTAAATTTATTAAGCTTTATAACTTTAAATCTTACCTTACTATCTAAATCAGGAATTGCTTCAAATCGTAACTTCATTAAACGCAAACAAATGAACTTCAAAGATTCAATCAACTTTATTGATTCACTTAAGATTTATTCACTTAAGACTATTAAATCAAAAATTACTTTCAATGATAGATATTCTTGGTGAAATGTATTTTATACAAATCATACAAGGCATATTTTGATATACTGCTTTCAGTTCAAAATATTTAAATAGCAGTAATTCAGTTGCTAATTGCAGCATACTGCTATTGAAAGTATCAGCAAAATTTTGAACTGGGTTTTATTTTCCAGATTATGGAAAAAAGTGTTCATGAGTCTAGAAAAACAAAAATCTTAATAAAATGATGATATCTTAATATAATGATAAATTTAGAAAAAGCTATCACGAGAGCAGAAATAATAGTCCGGAAGATAAATACGATAATATCGAGGTACCTAAACCCATTTCAAATTTATGTCATCACAAAAACCCACACTTGCTGAAACAACATAAAGGAAATTTGTCGGAAATGTGGATTTTACGACTTCACCTAGATGTCTTGATTTCCAGCGAAGGCTCCTTTTGCAAAAGTGAACTACCTGACATCATCAGTTCTCTTACTTTAATTACAGATTGCGGTGGCCTCATCGTTAAATTCTGATCTTCTGCCATATAGAAGCAAGTTTCAGTCTGTCAATCCAGAAAACTAGATTTTCGTCATTATTTTGTGTCTTGAAAAATCTAATGTTTCTTTCCAATACTTGGAACTGGTCATTGTACAAAAGGCGTAGATATGCAAGAATTGCATCAAACCTGAATGTCTCTCCAATTTTGCAGAGGCATAGAAAACCTTCTTTCCATATAAGTTGGTATAGGTGCTAGAGTTCAAATATATATAATATTGATATCTCAAGGAAGAGATTGAAAGTTATTTGGGCAAGAGAATAGTTTGATCACAGACCAGTTCACAAGGACTTGCTTTTATGATTTAGCTCTAGCTTGGAAATCGCTCTCACCCCGAGTAGTAGAGTAGAGATAGTATATTAAAAATAGTAAGTCACATTTTATTACATTCTACTGTTCCTATGCCCAAATGAATTAAGGAATTTCAAATACAGAAATTAGTTTCCAAACTCAGTTTCAAAATATTTCATGTGTACATTTATAGTAAGATTCCTGCTAGTGACGTCTAGTGATGGTTACAGCCGAAAACATCGCAGACTAAAACGTCGCGGAGAAAACAACGCAAGGCGAAAACGTCGTGCTACAAAACATCGTGAAGAAAACATCGCAGTTCTAAAACATCGTGGTTCAAAACATCGTCGTCGAAAATAAAGCGGTTCAAAAACTTCGCGGTTTAAAAACACCGTCGTCGAAAATATCGCGGTAAAAAATTAAGTATCTACAAATTATCGCATGACGATAACATCGTAGACACGCTTTTTTCAGGCTTTGATAACTGTAAATGGATATTTCCGTAATGATTTGTGTGGGCAAGATGGAAAGAAGGATAATTTTTACTTTCATATTTTTTATTAATCAATAAATTTTTGCTGAGAAACTAAAAAGAGAACTTAAGCATAGAAAGTTAATGCAACTTATAGCACTTAATAGAATTTTAAACCGACATAGTTAACTAACAAAGGCCATTAATAAATCATATTTTATAAAGTTTTTACTGGTAATTTTTCATGAAAAGTATAATCTATAAGTTACATTTAATTTTCTATGCTTAAGTTTCCTTACTTTTTCATCAAAAATTTATTAGTTAATAAAAAAATGTGAAAGTAAAAATTACCCTTCTTTACATGTTGCGCTCACAAATCATTATGGGAATATCCATTTACAATTATTAAAACCTGAAAAAATCATGTCTGCGATGATTTGTAGACACTTTATTTTTTACCGCGATATTTTCGACGACGATGTTTTTAAACTGCAAAGTTTTTGAACCGCTTTATTTTGTACCGCGATAGTTTAGAACTGCGATATTTTCTCTTTGCGATGTTTTCTCTCACGATGTTTTGTAGCACGACGTTTCCGCCTTTCGTTGTTTTCTCCGCGACGTTTTCGTCCGCGATGTTTTTGCCGCGATGTTATCGGCGGACACCCTAGTGATAAGGAACTTCTCACTTTGTTTTGGCTTTTCTTTTGAAACAAGTAAAAGTCATTCTGCTAAATAATGAGAATCAGTATTACGGAATGAATGACAAAGAACGTTTAAAGCATATGCGTGACAGAATCCGTTTTTTCTATAAGAACGATTCTAGATGATATGAAGGAGAGCATTCCTGAAGGTGATGAGATCTTGGAAGTTGCTGTGGATGCCTCCAGTTACGGAGCTGGCGCTGTTCTGACTCAAAAGGACAGCCTGCATACTATAGTAAAACTCTCAATTCTGCACAGAGAAATTATACGGTTACAGAAAGGGAAACTATAGCAGTTTTGTTAGCAATTTAAAAATTTAGAGTGTGTTTTATGAAAGCTGAAATTACTATAATTCGGATCGCGTGGCTATGGTTCGTTTGTACTCCGGAAAGAATTTATCACCAAGACTTATTAGATGGGCCTTAAACTTCAAGAATGCAACTTATTCTTTAAATACATGCTAACAAACGAAAACATAGTGGCTAATGCATTATCAAGAATAAAATTATGTGAGGAGGGGAATTCACTAAAATATGCTGTGGTTATTACAAAAAATCTTTGATTCTCGTGAAACTGCCATTGTTGTGTTACAAACGTATCCTAAATTTAAAAATCATTATGCTTACCTAAAAGACCCTAACCATTTTGAGTATCAGGACATTACAGATATTAGGAACAGAGTTGCGAAATATGAAGAAATTGATAACCTCTTATTTTATGCAAAAGCTACTAATGAAAACAACGAGTTAAGACCAGTTATCCCAGCTAGTTTAAGGTTCAGCACTTTGTAGGAACTGCACGATTCGCCAGATTCAGGCTACCTTGACATAAGGAAAACGGTCCAGCTAGTCCGCCAGACTGTTTATTTTCCACAGCTACAACTTCTTAGCCAGTATGCCAAGTCATGCAATATTTGCCAGTTAGTTAACGATGTTAATTATACCCTGGTCGGGTACCTAAATAGAATAAAAACTACTTTCCCAATTGAATTAATAGGAATTGACTTATTAGGTTAATATCCACGTATTGAAGTCAATAAAAATAGATATTTACTCGTTATCATGCATCATTTTCTAGGTGGGTAAAAATAGTTCGCTTCAAAAGAACGTCCACATTTTTTTTTTTTTTTTTTTTTTTTTTGTTTTGTTTTCTAAATAAATATATCCTAAAATATGGAGCTCCATTGAAAGTAATTTCGGACAACGGAAACCAGTTTGCTACTAAAATATCCGAGGAACTATACGCAGAACTTGGCGTACAGCATTTAAAAATGCAGTATCCAATGGTATCTTATCGGCTGCAGTCAAATACAGCAAAACTGGAAAACTGGTAAATAACGATATAGTAAAAAAAGCGTTTAAATAATAATATAGTTAAGATTATGCGTAGCTGTGAAAAAAAACTATCATAAGCGATGGATAACTACGTCCATTAATCAGCATTTGCTTTGAGCCCGGCTAAACATGACACTACTGGGAAAATGCCAGTAGAATAATTTTTTGGAAAAAAATTATTAAAGTGGGTACCGCTTTATAAGGTCTCTCCTTTAAAATCAACCGCTTATTAAAATCAAAACCCCAAAGAACGAATTGTTAAACTTTCCTGAAAAAACGTATCTTTATATTTATTTTAGTAATATCTTTCTACAAATTGTAATCAAAAAGTAAAACAAACTTCAGTCAAACTCAATTTAATGACCACTGATTAACAGCTAAATCATGGCGTTTAAATGACCCACGTATGTTGTTGTTGTCGTCTTGTCCATTGAAAGATCCTACTCCGAAGAGAGGTTGGACATCTATTTCCAACCACCAATTTTGAGGAAGAGCACCCCGCAGGCATCCGGGGGTCTTCCATCCCTCTCCCCTTCCACCGATCCACACGAGAGGACTTTCGGCTCGCCTCATATTTAGAGTGTCGCCATACCGCACCGACACTACGGTGCCTTCCGTATCGTAGTAGGCTTCCCTAATCACTATACCGTCTGGGCGACAACCCACGTATTTCCTCTTCGAATAAATGCATCATATAATGACGTAATAGTTTTAAAGATGAAACTTTATTCATTATAATCAAGTTGCATGAGTTCACTTCGATTTGATACCGAATTCAATAATTGATACTACTAGATAAAAACTTTAATTTTCAGACTCATAAACTATTACCTGTAGCCTAAATTATTATGATCACAATAATTTGGTAACAACTTAATTTGCCAGTAAATTCAATTTTACTTTGGTCATTTAAGAAGATGTTCATTTAAAATTAATTTAGAATGAATATATTAAATGCAGACGGTTTTCTCTCAGAAAGATTAAGATGAAAGCAACGCCCAAGGCCTTAAAAAGAAAGATGCTGAAAATTCATTTTTCTTAAAA